TCAATCCTAACTGGGTGAATTATAATTCCACAAAAAAACAAAATGGACTTTTATAAGAAAAGTACTCATTAACCAAGAAAGTTATGTTTTAGAAAACAGAAAATACAGGGACAAATGAAAATTGCCTGAATTCAAAATAAATTGGCCCTCTGAAAGGAAATTAGAACAAACAATAGTGTAACAACTGAAATGAGAACAAGGAAAGAGGAAATGTGCCATTCTTCAGAGAATGAGTGTAGAGATCAAGGGTAATCCGGATTAGGTCTGAAACTCTATGGGGCTCTTTTTTCTCTCAGTATTGGGTAATAATGGTGATGTCAGCTGTAAGGACAGGAGTTAAGAAAAGTGCAAGTATGGAAATGGAATACAGCATAGTGACTCAGGAGGTTATTATGCACAAACCAGGACATGAGATGGTCTGAACTGGCATCTGACATTGCGTGAATTGTAGTGAAGATCTTTAATAAATGCTCTGGGGCTGTGGGTAGTGTAGTATGACAGGGAGTTAACAAAGGCCATGCCTGTGTTTAGAAATGGAAAAAAAGTCATCTTGCTAATTGTAGACTCTGTCTTTATTGGGAGACTTCAGAGTAACCTTGGAAGGAAAATATGTTTAAAAACTGGATCCATCAACAGTGGATTGAATTATGATTTTCACCCAAGCAAGACTGTGCAAGAAGAAATCTTCTTTATTCTTTTCAATATTAGCTATATGTACATATTTAGCATATTTATTAATAAATAAAGCTTCTAATATGGTGCCACATGGAAAAGAATTAATTATAAAGGATTATGCATATGCTRTTATTTTACAAGCAGGCACAAGTCTCATCTAAGAAATGGTGCTTGCTTTAATTGTGTTCATGTAGCATTTGTCATTTGGAAGGATGGATGGATTGAACTCATGTCTTTGTGCAAAATAACACGTACCCATAAAGAAGATAACAGATTAGTCATAGCAAGTAAGAAAGTAGTTATCAGGGAAGTAACAACASATAGGTTAGAAAGGAGAAGCATTAAATCCAGGGATTTTATTAGTGGAATTTATCTCCAGTTTCTCACCAGTTCGTGTTCTTAATGTTCTCACTTAAAACCTTGGCTTGAGCATCAGCATTGTGCTATTGAAGTGGACTGATGACACAGAGCTAGGGGGTATTAGCCATACAAATTAAGTTGAAGGTATCTTGCAGAAAGACTGGAATACCATCAAGTATTGGAAAAATAAAAGGAGAGGAGTGACATTCAATGGTAACAAATACAAGGTCACACATTTAAGGATGAATAAGAAAAAAATGCTGTGAGCTGGGTAAGAGCAGCAGACAGGAAAAGGAGGAAATGTTTGTGATGTCAATAAATGCATAAGTAATAAAAAAGAAATAGTAAGAGAATAAAGCTATTATGCTTGTTTATTCTAAGTCATTGAATATTTTTCCTTCTGTTGGCTATTTAAAAGCATTGTAAAAGTCATCTCTTACCTTTAGGAAGCCTGCCAGCATAAGGTGTTGTGTGTTCATACCTCTTTTGTATTTAATTGAGATGAGGGTACTTGTATGTGACTCTGGAGTAATTAGGAAAAGATAAATGCCATTTTGTCCTCTGTTTTTCTTTCCTTAAGTCTTCTATTTTTCCAGTGTGTGGGACTATTAAAAATAGATAGTGTTGTATATTTAACTATTTTGAAACACAACTAAGAGCAGGTAGATCAGTAATGGGATTTCTTAATCAAGATCTAGCTAATTTAACTTTAATACTTAGAGACAAGCTTTTATGGAAATAAGAGTTCTTTTGTAATAAAAAAAAAAAATGGAGGGGGGAAGAACATCCATCCCCATAGACACAAGCATGAAGGCATGAGAACTTGTGGTTCAAATAAAATTATGAGAAAGAAACCAGCACATTGCAATGATAGAATCCCCTTTTAGGGTTAAACAGGAACTTCACCTATGGTGGCCCRTATCCCAAGGGATTGACTCCCCACCGAGTTATCTGTTTTAGAGAAAACTAYCACCAGAGGAACCTGAATGTAATTCTTCTTTTTTTTTTCTTACGATTGCACATTATTTTCCCTACACTCCACAAAAAAAATAATCAAACCTAATGCATTTTTATGAAAAGTTCTGATTTCTATATCCTGACATTTTTCCAAAGAAATAATATTTTGTCAAAAAGTTCCTAAACAGCTATTGTTATTACTAGAGGTGAGCTCATTTAGGACGATTGCCATGTGCACTGTGGATAGATTTCAATATACATTATAGAAGTCTTCCAACTGTTTTTATAATAGTACAGGCACTGTTATTTTATTTAGCAGTTTAACTTTATGATGGGCAAAGTTCTACTTTCCTTCTAGCAAAGGAAGGCATCTTTCAGTTGTGGGGCTCTTTGAGTCATATCTGCACTTATCAGTGGTCAGCCCCCTGTGTGATGGCTCCTTCTGTTATATGATTGCATATCCTGCACATAAATTCTTATTTTTGGTGGTTTCACACGGTTCCTCTTACCTGCAGCTACTGAGGAGACCAAGAAATGGTGGGTTGTTTTGTTTGTTTGTTTGTTTATGCATTTTTTTTTGTTTTTGCTTTTTTTTCCCTTCCCTTTGGGGTTTTTGTAGCTGGTTTTCTTTGTTTGTTTGTTTGTTTTGTATTTTAATCCAAAGCACCTGATTCTACTGCCATTTTTACTGATGTAGATCAGCTGCCAACCTAGTCAAATCAGTGCAGTTTTCCCTACCAAAAAGAAAAAAAAATGGCATAAATGAGAGTCTTAAACTCGAGTGCCTTACGACTTTTGTCCTGAAAAGCAAGTGGAACATTAAGTGTATTTTTTTTATGATAGTTCTCCAAAGAGACTAGCCGTTAATCTCTCCGTGAGTAGGTGTGTCTGCTGCAAACATTTCCTTCCAGTCTACCATTTCAATCACACTTCACAGTACACTGAAAATTGGCAAGGATGTTAATTACTGGCCTCTAGAACAAACCACCTACTTTGATTCAAGCGTGTTTTTCCAATTTTTGAGAATGTTGTTTCACCTACAGTACAGTGTAATTATAGAAAATAGCTTGGTTTGGCTAACATTCTTGTGCTGTGCGAGTTCTGCTTGCGAGGCAGCACGCAGCATCGGGCGAGCAGCTCACCTGCACGGGATTTTAACCTCTTGCTGACAGGAGTTAGGCCTTGCCAGCTGCAAGTGCATTGTTTTCAGTTTTAGAAAGTTAAGCCACTGTCACTTGAAGGTTAAACATTAACACTTTTTACTTTTCTAGCTCAGTGTAGTACAATTGTTTTTATTCTCAAAGGAAATTGCTGTTCCAAAAATCTCACAAATCTGTTAGAAGAGTAATTGYGGTGGTGGGTCTTGCACCCCAATAATGCAAAGCCCTGGGTGCAACTTAATRCACTTAGCTGTACAATGCAGACTTGGACATGACTGACCAAGCAGCAGGATAAATAGCTCATAGATGACTGGGAGTTGACAATAAACAGTAAAACACCTGTCTGAAAGACTTACAGTCTTAATAGGCAAACAGGAAACAAAAGCAAGTGTTGAGCCCTGTTTTAGGCGAGAGATTTTGAGGCACAGAGAGTGAGTTGTTCATGATTATATAGCAAGTCTGGCAGAGCCAGGAGCTGAACTCTGCCTTTCGTTTCCTGTATTCCCAGCTCATATAACAAGCCTTTAATTTACCAAGAGACTTTTCTGCAGCACTGTCCTGAAGAGTTGGCAGAATTCACAGTCACCATGTCTCACACATGTAGCTCTTGGTTTGGGTCTCTACAACTTGTAACATTAATAACTTACACCACAAAACAAAAAACACTGGAATGGTGTAGAAACCAGCCCAACACTCAGGCTCACGTGTCGGAGAATTGCTCTGTAAATCCAGTCTTATTTGTTGTTACAACAATTATTTATTCTCTAATTATAAAATAATTAGTATGGCAACTGCAGCCTAAATGAAATCCTGTAATGCTATTGAAATGGAATGTTTTAAAATTAGTGATGATTAAACTGTAGAGATACAGTAAACGTGCGTGTTCTGCTACCTGCTCCTTAGCCACAATGCCCTGCCAGGGCTGGCTGACCTGCCAGGCGCACGCAGCAATCTCCATAGAGGTTATGAGTCACAGGCCGTTCGCAGCAGGCTGCGGATAAACATCCGGGATGGGGAGAGGACAACAGCTTATCAGGGATTCCCTCACACCAATAATGCAGATCCTGGATGAGAATGCACCCCATTCCCTGAGCAAGGCAGCGATGCCTGTCTCAGCAGCCCCCGCTGGCTCATTTCCTACCACAGCTCGAGACACGAATTAACCTGCAGCCCTCAGGCGAACAGCCGGTGTCATCAGGTAGCTCCAGGAGGTGAGGAGCTGCTCAAGAACAGCATGAAAGACACACGTGGCCCTAAGTTGTGCCAGCGGAGATGCAGGTTAGATATTAGGAAAATTTTCTACACGGAAAGAGTGGTCAAGCATTGGAACTGGGAAGTGATGGAGTCACCATCCATGGCAACGTTCAAGCAATATGTTCATGAGGCACTTACGGACATGGTTTAGTAGGCATGGYTGTGATGGGTTTGCAGTTGGACTTGATGATCTTAAAGGTCTTTTCCAACCGTATGTTTCTATACAAAGAGCTCCAGGTCAACAGACTGTAACTGGGTGCCGTACTTAGCTGTCTAGCATACACTGGTCACCAACTTGGGCTAGGATCATTAAATATGAAAATCTGAGATATGTTTGTTGACAAACACTTGGCTAAACTAAAGAAGAAATCTAACCTTTGCCATTCAAGAAGTTTACTGTACACGTGAGGGAAGTTGTGCAAAGCATTATCCTGCTGGAGGGGGAAAAATAAGACAAAAAAAACCCCTCAGTTACAATGTTATAAAAGAAATTATTTTTTTGTTAGAGTTAAGTAGACAGAAGCTATTCACTATTAGCATGACTGAAATGAGCATAYAGATGATCTGAAGAAATCATTGTCTCTCATTTTGCAGGCAGAATTGATAAACTTGCAACAAGAAAAAGAGGCTGTTCTTCAGCAGTGCAAAAAACTAGAAGAAGAAATCCAGACATTGCGTATTTATTACAGGTAAAATAATTAATACTAATGTAACTCAGTGACTCATAGGGGAAATTTTCTGTACTGTGTCATGACTGTAAGTGAGGAAATGCCCTTATCAAATAGGTATTTGTTGGAAATGTGACATCAATGAATCAAGGCCTGCATTTATGCTTTACTGCTCACCAACCATCTCTTTGAAATATAAGTCATTTTCTTATAGCCTAAGTATTCTGTTAGTTTCCTTTAAGGAAAAAGAGCTGTTAGTTCTCACTTAATACAAAAACYGAAAGGCTGTGTTACACCAATGCATTTAATTAAAAGGACCAGTTAAACAAAAGGAGCAGTTGGCACGAGAGCTTTTTTCTCCATGGTTGTTTGAACATACTTAGATTTATCAACATTGATTTAAGAAAAAAATAAAATCTGGAATTTTAGAAGACTTCTTTCCAATCCCAAACATAACATATGTTTTAATTACTTATGTTCTTTAGCAGTAAATAGGATGAGAGTAATAGACATTCTCTCTTTAATTTTGTTGGGATACAGTGAACATTTCTATGGATTTTAGTCCCCAAGGAAAATCTCTGTGTGGTCCAGTAAAGGAGTTAGGTTATTTTATGGCGTGATGTTGGGTTGCAGTTCTCATTTCATCCTGACCTCCTGGGTGCGGAAGGATACAGAGCTACCAGCAGGTTTAAGGCCGGAGAATTGGCATCAACACAGCAGAAAATTGTGAATCTGGGGACTGAATATCTGTGATGAGGGATGTGGGCTGCAGAGGTAAATAATAAATGCAATGTGAATATTATGCTCATTGGAAATAAAGAGAAGTAGTTAGTTTTAACCAAAAAACATTTGCAACAGTGGAACTGAGTATGTTTTCAATGTTTCAGCATTTGTGAGTGATAAATACTCTGGTTTCTAGAGTTTTTTAGAGTTTCCTCTTCTCATTAAGTTTATTAAAAACTCAGAGGTAAGTTTCAAAAACAACTTTTGTTCCTAAATCTCACAGGCATTTATTTAAAGCCTGTTAATAGTCAATAGAAACCCCAAGAAATTTCTGATCATCACTTTAATTTGGTCACCATTTGGTATAGACATAAGTTATGGTATGATTTGCTAGGCTAAAAAAAACTTATTATAATTTCTTTATTACTCATTTAAATTGAATTTTTAGGTAAGATTAAAAACATAAATGCAATTTTTATAGCAATATTTCAGAAACTAATAGTTTGCATGTGTTAGTGCCTACACACTGCAGGCTGTTATTCACTGATTTTTCATGCAGTTGTGTTAAGATAATCTATCAAGCTTGCTCTACCATAAAATTTGACAAATTCTACAGTATATAACAGGCAGTTTATTCATGCAAATACTTTAAATCTCAGTAATGTCAATAATAAAGGCTTGTGTGAATCAACAGTAGAATGCACCATTTTATTAAATTATGGCCTTTACATTTCACTGTGAATTTGATGAAGGCATTTTGCAAAGTTTATTCCGTAAGTGTGTAAACATATAGCTGAATACCCTGGAGGCAACAACCTTTGCAACAATACTAAGTTATGAAAGTAATATAATAATTCTTCGCATCTGAAATGCTAATTTTGTATCCTGAAATTTTGTATCCTACCTCACTGACCTTAGAGGATATTTCTTGCTAAAGAACTTTCAAGTGTAGCATATACGTATATGTCATCAAAAAGAATCAGGAAGCTTGTTTAGGTTCATCTAAGACTTTTGCAAAAGTAAAAATGTGGATGACAAGACATATATATTAAATCAAAAACACTGGAATGTTATAGAAACGAGACCAATAGTCAGGCTCATGTCAGGGAATTGCTCTGAAAGTCCAGTAAGTAAGTTGAAAAGTAAAATGACTACATTTTAATAAGTAAGTTGGTAAAGTAAGGTGAAAGTAAGTTGAAAATACTACATATTAATATCTGGTCCTTGGTGGGGAGCAGATGCCAGATTGACCAGTACTCTTCTCTGAGAAATCTTAGAGCTTAGAGAGTCAGAGATATATAGGATGTGTGGTTTCATTTCTTTTTATTTGGTGGTAGGGAAAGAGGACAGTCACAAACAAGGAATGCTACATTCCAAGTTTCAGCCAGCTTAATTATAACATCCTTTGATAAAAGCTATACTTGATTTGCTTCCTTTTATTTCTAATCTTTAAGAAGGAATATAAGCAAAAATTGCACTCTAAACATGGTTTGTTGTTTCTTGCCAGCAGAGTGTAAAAAAATGTTAAACTTAGTCTCTTAGGGCTTCCTATTCTTTTCTTTCTGGTTTCTTTGTTGTATTTGAGATCTGGGTTAGAAATAAATTGCATTATTGTGAGGATTCTTATGAACATATTAGCATTTCAGTTATAGTTTAACATATGCTGCACGACCATCTGCAGCCTCTATCATCCAGTAATCTGACAGAGTAACACACCTTTGAACACATGCCAAAGACAGTTGAAGATAGGAAGCGAGGTGAAGAAGGGAATACATGGCATGTGTGCAGAATGCGTAGGGGACTGTGTCAGACCAAGTGTGGGTTGACCATAATGGTCACGCATGACAAAGTAGAAAGAGAATATCCTCAGGGTATCCCAAATGACCAAAACCTTACTCTTTACTTGTATGTGCACTCTACTTTAGGAATGCTAGTGTGAATTTTCTGCTATAACTTGCCACACAGTGGTAACCTGAGAGTGGTTTGCAGACAGCCTGTTAGGGGATGTGAAAAATGGAAGTGTGGTGCCTCAATCCAAGTGAGTAGCTAGGATGAGTTACTGCTCAGCCTTAGCTGGGAGTTATTTCTCTTTTGGACTTAGAGTTCCCCAGTCATGTCACCACGGGGCACTCCTTGTGGAGCTGCAGAGCTGCAGTGAACATCGTAGCAGATGCTTTCCTTTCCAGCTGGKCTCTCTTGCCTGTTCATTTCTCTCAGTGCCACCTCTGTGGTACCTTTGCCAGCATGTCAGCAGCTTGGCAATTTTGACTGCATTTGGTGCCTTTTCCTGCCTCTGCTTTTAGGTTTTTGACCTCAATAAAAGCATGTTCTCATGCTTTTCTTGTTTGTTTCCTTGTTTTAACTGAGATTTCCATGTTACTTGATGTAGGAGGAAGAAGTTTAAGAAAAAAAATGGAAGCTGATGTTAAAGTGTGTCAGGAAAACGTAAAGGCCTGCCTTCAGGCACAACTACATTTCAGGGGTTTGGGTGTAAATATAATGACTGCACATGGATTAACTATTTTTGAATGCATACGCATGCACATAGAACATCAGAATGAGCATTATTGTATGGTTTTTTCTCTAGCGTTGGTGAAAACAAGAAAAGACTGAATGTTATTTTATTAGTAAACAAAAAAATCAATCAGGAAGAAGATATTTTGCTCCAGAGTATCTGTATGTATGAAGGTGCAACTATTGAAAGAGAAAAGAATGAAAAATTCTTTTTTTTTTTTGACAGACACGTAAGCACAGGGACAAACTCAATTTTCATTTTAATTACAGAATTAAATCACTGTATAACAGGAGAAATAGATGAGGAAAGATGCTTGGCAAGGTAATATTTGAACTCCAGGGAAAAAGACTATACTATTCAGGATCTGAATACAATGGTACATATTCAATTTACTTCCGTTTTATAGTTTCATGGCCCGTATTATGGATTGTAATATTGGAATGATACCATTTCCGCTATACTCCATGAGATCTGTACATGTATTTTAATGCTATAATTCTTACTGGTACACTGTTCCTCATGTTCTAGTTGCGAGAGCTGTTGCAAGCTGTAAGTTATTGTCTAACATGACAGTGATCTGTAGTTTCAGTAATTATCCACAGTATATAGATACATAAATAATGTACAGTAATACTGTAGTTGTTTCAGAATTATTTGCTTTATATGTAAAATGAGRTGACTAGTTAGGTTCATTAAGAAAAATCACCAAATAATGTGTAATGTCTTAGTAAACGTGCTGTAATTTTTTCATAGTAGTTTTGTGGAGATCAGGGAAGAAGGTAAGAGTGCTTTGAACTATTCTCTGTCTTTAAAGCATCAACTCCTGTTTTATCCTAGAATTTCAGACATCTGTCATCAAACATAAATCTTATTATTTTCAGTCACAGCCACTACCAAGAGAAAGATTCTCTTTCTTGTTACCACAGATATGAAATGCTTACATGTAGGACACAGTGCAGTGTCTTCTTGTAAGCAACCCAATCCACTGCAATTAGATGCAGTCCAACACCAAGAAAACAATMGTTCTGTAAGGAAACAATAAGGTTTTTCTTTGTCTTTTATAATTCTAAAAAATAAAGGCAGGTAACACCCAAATTATATTTTTTAGTTTATTTTCTTTGTATACAGGTTTGAATGTGCAAGAAATGAAGCGCCTTGTTTTGTTTTGTTTAAACATGCATGCTTCCTGTTTATTTATTGAACTGGCTGCTGGAATTAGTTGATTTATTTTTCTTTTAATCAGATTGATTGACAGCAAAGTTCCTGTGAGGAACGTGTATATTTCAGAAAATTTTAGTCAACTCCTGGGAGCTGGGAGAGCCAACACCCTAGTTAGGAAAGTCCCCTGGGATTCAGAATCGGCAGGCTCAGGTTTCGCWGTTATTGTGCCCCTTTCCACAGCGCTGCAACCAGCAGCATCGGCATTCTGGGCTGTGGTTGTACATGCCTTTTCTCACTGGCAACCCCCACTCTGCTCTTTCCCTTTGTCTGCTTCTTGCTGGCCCTGTCCCAGCTCCCTGCAGTGTTAAAGAGACAAAAGTCCGGGTTTTGGGGTCTATTTCTTGAACTGGATCAAGCAGCAGAGGARGATAAAAAAGATCAGCTAACTGTTAAAGCAGCTGCATAAAACTATGCAGCTTTATGTGCCTCAGTGTCCAGGTGTAGGTGAGCAGCACTCTGCCTTGTTATCCATATGTGTTTTACTCTTTAATGGACTTCTTACTCTTACCCTTATCCCTCCACCCCAATCCTAGTCTTCATGTCCTTAACAATTAATCACCGT